TTGAAAATTAGATTTTCCTAAAAGAGAAAGGCAGTTTCAAACATGCACTTGGACAAATCAGCTGACTTTGCAACAAAATTACTAGATGGCAGTATGATGATAGTTTTAAAAAACAACACATGAGGATTCTTTGTACTATTTTAATAAATAAAATAAAAAGCAATAAAAAGCAATTAAAGAGGTAATATTTCAATAAAAGTAACACCAAAAAATGTTCTTAATAACGGAAGAACAATTTTACGAGAAACAAAATATCAAAATATTCTTTAAAAGAAGAATATTTTATTTCATTTTATGATCGAATCATCATTATATAAGTATAGCACAATAACTTTCTGATAATTTAAATATCTTCAAAGAAATTTTTATTGTATATCTTATATAATATACTTTCATCCGCAGTTAATTTAAAACTCTTAAAATTGTTCATAAAAAACTATTCATAAAAAAATTGTTCATAATAAATATTTATTTCGAATTAAAGTAACAGAAATAATATTACGAATGAAAGAGAGGCACACAGATAATGATGGCTTACGACATTGATCATTGGGCGTATAATTTCACCCAGATAACGCTTCGCTGATCACAGATCTGAACGAATTTCACTTTCTAAGTGCGATCAGACATGGTCTTGTGTCGGAAACGATTCGCGATTACCCGTTATGCGAAAGTGTTTGATTTATGTCATATTTCACGGACAAGGCTCGCTCTGGTCACGGTGCATTATTGGTAGAATTAAAGTAAAGTCAAGGTCGGGAAATTAAGACTTGTTCGCAAGATAAATCTTAAAGCGTGAATCGGCCAATGCTTTTATTATATTGTATCAATTAAGGTGTTTCGGAATATACTTGACTAAATCAAATTTTGATTTTATTCTTGATTTAAGATTTAATTTTATTCTAAATTTTAGTTAAATTTATTCGGTTTACTATTCATGGTTAATTAATATATGGTGTTTTGATATAATCAAATTTATGGACTCATTAAAGCATAAATCTTCTGGAGTTCTCGCGCGAGACGCGATTGGTAACTACATGACAGTTCTGGCAGATTGTCACTATTTTATGAACTGCGAGAAATTTTAATTGCAAAGGATCGTCGCATCTACATTCATCAATTAATTTACAATTCAACTTCGTTTCTATCGTTGCTGTTAATTTATGGTTTGTTATATAGCGTGATTGGCGTGACTGAAGAGGCCAGACATGCTAGAGATTTTTCGGTGATAATCGGAGATTTTAATGAGACGGATTTTATATAGCTCATTATCCAACCGATCGGACAATATTTTTAGCCATGTTTAGGCTTTGATTCAAATATAATAAATTACAAAAAATGGTTGTATTCTCCGAAGAAATGTGGAAAAATCAAAGTTTTTATTTGCTTTGGCGCTTAATATACATTGTAAACTTGCTTGATAATCGCGCGTGATATATACCTGCTCCCAAGTACTTGATCGAGTACTTTCACTCTTCAGATCTTACAATCTTATGAATCCGTTAATCGGAGCTTTTCCTCAAGTTTAACTCGCGTTATTATATGCTAATACAACCGAGCCTCTGTGAGAACTCGCTCGAGGCTTTTTCTGACCCGCTGCGGGCGAAAGCTAGGCTCGAAAGCGATTTTTAATGTCTTCTCCCTTGACAGGAGTAAAAAAGAGAAATGCCATTTGTAATTAAGGTCGTGATAATGAGGAAGGCAATATTACCCGCGAAATTCGTACGCATCTTCGCAACCGATTTCGACATTGTCTCGGCGCAATAATGTCTTACTTTTACTTTTTATTGAATGGCTACACTTTCGCTGCACTGTCACGGAATGAGTGGCAAAATTTTGACGAAAAGCGCAGAATTTCATTACATTAAGCACGTTTGCTTTTAACTGTAAATTCTTTGAACAGTTTATATATAAGCTTTCATTGAGATATATCGAAGGAATTCATTATTTATTGTAAATTTGATTTTTATATCTTTGCAATTAATAAATTAAATTGTTATTAAAATAAAAATCACGTTAAATTAAAAGGATATTATATTACAGGAAAATCACCGCTGGAATCTCCTAAAGAGATACCCCCTTATTTTTTAGAAACTATTGCACAAAGAAAATCGTAAGAATTTTATTTTCGCATTCATAGAATTCGTTTTTAGCTGATTTGATCTAGAATCAAGCCAAATGTACGAATTATGAGTTTGTATTTTTTTAATTAGCTAAATAGATCATGATTATTAATACTAATAAAACTAAATTAGCTAAAAAACGAATTCTATGAATGCGAAAATAAAATTCTTACGATTTTCTTTTGCAAATTGCGTAGTTTAAATAATAGTGACTATATTATTGATAATATTATGTCGTTTTAAATGCTTGTAATTTCCTAAATTAGTTTTATTCATATTATTTTTTCTCTTAATTTTTTTATAATACAATTTTAAATTTAAAATTGGAGTGTGACGTAAATCGCCATCTATCTGTAAAACAGATCATAAACTAACTTAATCCTTATAATGTTTCTTTATAGTGTCAAATATAACTCTATTGGAGCTGAAGGCACCCAGTCAGAAATGATAATGGAATCGATTTCGAATCGATGTCGATTTGATGCTTTCGACGTCGATTTGAATCAACATCGATTTGATGTCGATTCCATTATTATTTTTGACTGGGCAATCGTGCATATGTAGAAAAAGTCTTGAAAAACTATTGCATTATATATTTGCATCTTACAGAACAGCATAAGTAAATATGCATATAATTCAATAAAAATGTTTTATAACAAAGTGAAAAAAATTCTAAAATCTTATATATAAAAAATCTTATATATAATACATTCACTTATAGGTACTTTACAAATAATTTCTGTAAAAGAAAAAAAATAAGAATATGTAGCATTACTACTGTGTCAATTTTGAAACCCATTTTGTCAGATACTCATTTTTATTTATCTTACGAAAAATTAATTATTGCAAAATTGCAAACAGTATTATAAAAACTGCTTATACTGCTATCTGATAAAAGACACTTGTTAGTTTGTACTTATGTTTTTAAATCTTTATTTTTACCTTTTATTTAAGAAATATTGTCATAAAAACAAAGTGTCAATATCGATGACTTTCTTCTATTATTTGCTTTTTCTTTATTTTTTTATTGAGTTATGAATGAGCCTTAATTTTTAAGGCTCTGATTCTTTATTTTCACAATGCTGATTTAAAATAGCTATTCCGTATAATTATATTATATAAATCTCTTGAGTATTAGATTATATAAAGCTCTTGAGTATTAGAAATTTAAGAGAGTTCCGTTTCGCTTGTAATTTCGCAATAATTTCGGGCAATCTGCAAAATCATAGCCACCGAAAGATGAAAGTGTGGCCGATTGATCGATTGCTCTCGGGTCTGAATCGAAAGTACTTTTGGTGTCTCTCAATATCCCTTTCGGGTTTCTATACGTCCTCATTAAACTGCCTTGGAAGATTTACCAGCCGTGTATTATTTCCGGTCGGTACCTTCCCTACTACTCAGATTGCAGCCTCCTTTTTTTTGCAGCCTCACGTAGCTCGCCCCCACAACACGTTGTTGTAGCACGATTGTAGAGAAAGTAAAGGTCATGAGCTCGTCTCGCGACCCTGAAGACCCTGAGAGACATGCTTGCTCACTTGATTCTCCTCTTATCCTTAGAAAGCATCATGTCTCCCCTCGCTCTTCCACCTCATCATCCTTCCGATTCCCTTCTACATATTACATAGCGCATCTTCGTATGAAAGCCATCGTACTTTCTTATAAGCTAATGTGAATTAATGACTTCATGGACGAGCCTGGATCGTATTCACGGATAATAGTTTAATAAATGTTGCGGAAGACATAAGCAGGCACTTTTAAACGCATGATTATTGCGATTAGTGATATTTAAAAAATTACAATCATGATTCAAAATTCTTATATCTCTTTTTACACAAATCTTTTCTTCAGACATTTTAATACAAACCACTAAATGATATTAATTATTTACATTTATTTTTGTTTAAAAAGAAATAATTTTGCTATTTATAACTGTAAATAAATCTTACTTGAAGTCAAAATTTTTTATTTGATGGATTATACATACTTTTGATTAAGTATTATATTAAGACTCCTAGTGACTCTTAGTAATTTTATGGTCACTTGGGTCATTAGGGGACCTTAAAAAAGTGTGAGAGTTTATATTTCTAAAGTCTTTTTTTAAAACGGAATTTAAACTATCATTTATTCTAAGTTCAAAATCTCTTTTTTCACCTATAGGTCGGATATTATTCCTTGGATTCAATTTTTACGATTTTTAAAAATATTATCACTTATTTTTTTAAATTAAAAATTGTTAAAAATAAAAAATTTAAGAAGCACTGCATTTCTATATTCTGCAATGTTTAAAGTATGTTGAGTAATTTTTGTGATTTTAAAGAATAAAGCTGTAAATATGGCAATCAATTAAAATGTTGGGATCATTTTGCCCACTGAATAATCAGATTAATCAGTATAAAATTCTCAAGAGATGTAACTATGAAAGGTTAAAATAAAACTTTACAAAACTTTTGTTAAAGCATTTTTTACATTAAAAGAAAAACTTGAATTTTGTTTTAAGTAATGTTAAATAAAAATAAATGTTTACATTCCTAAACGTACAAAATATACGCATTTAAATGTAACATGGATTCTTTTTTCTCAAAAATAATTATCTAAATATAAAAAAAATGAAATTCGTAATATAGTATAAAATCATATTTATTAACATATAAAAAAATATTAACATGCACGCATCCCAATAATCAAACGATATTTACAAAGTAAGATTAATTACATAAAATAATAATACGTATATAGCCATTCTAAGGCTATGGATTATTCGCACTAAAAAAAATAAACAAAGAAGGACTTTTCTTGCCTGTGTGTGTAATTTTCATTGTCAGAGATTAAATTTAAAATTACTTTCAAAGCAGTTTGTTATATCTATAAACAATAGAAAATTACAGTTGATATAAATATCCAGCATTCCAAGTAGCCTTTTAATATTTAGATGAATCGAATTCTTAATTCTATTGAGCCATCATTTACATTTTATTGATATAAATACATAGATATATTAAACAGTTTTAAGAAATAGATGTTTTTTTTTCTAATAGATTATAACATTATTTTTCAACAAATAATTGACAAACATGATATTTTTTTTGGCAATAGTTTGCTTGGCAATGGTTTGCTTTAAGGTTTAATTTAACAAGTCGTGTAATCTCTAGAAAGATGCATTATGGTTATAAATTTATTTGCTAAAGATCAGTTATTAGTACACATCTTTTTTAGGAGATGTATAGTAAAATGTAGATAATGATATTTTCACATCCGTTATAGTAATATCTCATTGATCGATATTTTGGTTCCTCTTATGACGAGCTGAATGACTTTGGTTATCACATAACTTAGTCGCGTTGTCGCCAAAATGATCAATTGAAAATTTTCATCATCTACTTTCGTACATATCTCATAGTCGCGATGCTTTCTAACTATTCGTTGCAGGCTTTCCTCTTCTTCGTGCGATACGTTTAATCGGCCTTCCCTTTTCTCCTCTCGAGAGATATCTATAGCTATCGGCGAGCAATCCATTATCACAAGACATTATAAAATTCGACCGACTTTCATGATTCTCTAACAATTTTCCGAGTTGACCTTTCGATTTTCAGATGTCACGAGCATACGCAGAAGAAAGATCGAACCGGCCGAACGTGACCCTCGACGACGATCTACTTGTAACCGTGATGACCGTCGTCGTGGTGAGACTCGATGGGAACCCAAACTTTCTCCCAAACGGGCTTCCAGATCTTCTTCCAAGCCGGTACCTGCACATCCTTCCAAACCGGAACCCATTTGCTTTTCCATTCATCTTTCCACACCTGTTTCTTCTGCGTGACCCAAATCTGCTTCTTTTGAGGTACCCATACTTGCACCGATTCTTCCTGCCAAATTAGCTTCTTGTCTGACACCCAGATTTGCTTCTTTTCCGTCTTCCAAATTTGTTTCCATTCGGCCTTCCATTCTAATTTTTTGTCGCTTACCCAAATTTGTTTTTTTTCTGTTCTCCAAATCTTCTTCCAAATCGGCTTCCATATTAGTTTCTTCTTCCAGAGACCATGGCTGGTATACTGCCAACCATGATGATCTTTGCCCACAGAGTGTTCTCCCGGTATACCAATTTTAATCCATTCTGGCACCCAGACTTTCTTCCAATCGGGCACTTGGACTTCTTTCCACACAGGAACTTGGATTTCCTTCCAAACAGGCTTCCATATCTTCTTCCAAGCTGGCACTTGGACCTCCTTCCAAGCCGGTACTTGAATCTCCTTCCAAATAGGTTTCTGAATCTTTTTCCAGACAGGTACTTTGATCTCCTTCCAAGCAGGTACTTGAATCTCCTTCCAAATCGGCACTTGTATCTTCTTCCATTCCTGCTTCCAGATCATCTTCGATTCTGTTTTCCAAATCTGCTTCCATTCGGGCTTCCATACCAACTTTTTTTTCCACACGCCCTTCGGCCCGTGATCATGCGAGGGAGGTCCATAGGAATCAGAAGGTAATGATGGCGGCCCATAAGAATCAGAAATCGATCCAAAGCTGCCTCCACCTCCGCCATAACCGCTGTCACCACCGCCGTGACCGCCACCACCGCCGTGACCGTCACCTCCGCCATGACCGCCACCACCGCCGTAACCGCCGTCACCACCGCCGTGACCGCCACCACCGCCGTAACCGCCGCCACCACCGCCATAACCGCCGCCGCCTCCATGATGGTCATCGAATGATCCTCCAATGGAACCGTGATCGTCACCGAAAGATCCGTGACCACTGCCGAAAGATCCTCCACCGTGACCGCCGCCGAAGGATCCTCCATCGTGACCGCCGCCGAAAGATCCTCCACCGTGACCGCCGCCAAAGGATCCTCCACCGTGACCGCCGCCAAAGGATCCTCCACCATGATCACCGCCTAGATCATATGATCCACCGTGATCATTACCGAAGGATCCGTGATCGCCTGATGATGGTGCCCCGTAGGATGACAATGGTGATGCACCATAGGATGACGAAGGTCCAGATGGTGCGCCATAAGATGACGATGGTAGCGGAGGAGCACCATAAGAATTAGAGGGTGGACCGTAGGAATTTGAAGGTGGTGGACCATAAGAATCTGATGGTCCTACGTTCGGTACTCCGTAGGACGATGCCGGTGGTGCACCATACTGTGAGCTCACGGGAGGCCTACGTGAAGATTTCTTCTGTTAGAATAGCGTCATATACCGTAATATAATAAAAACTTAAACACATCTAATTGTATTTAATATTATAGGACTTTATGTATAAATAGAAATATTTTTAGATAATTAATGTATAAAGTACATGTACTTTAAATGTACATTTTTATTTTTTATATTTCATTCATATATTTATTTACTCAATAATTTATATACTCACTCTCTCTTTGTTCTAATCGGGTCTCCAAATGCGGAGATAACAAAGAGGCCGTATAATATTGTCTGAAAGAATTTTTTTTTATCAGTTTTATAAATAAATATCTGCAAAAGTAAATAACATTAAGAATCTTCATTTTAGATCTTCATTTCGCATATGTAAGAAACACAATCAATACTAGAAAAATATCTATTACGATCAAAGCTGGATCTTGCTTTTTTTAAAGTAATTCAATCTTGAATTACTAATATACACTATATACACTATATATATGTACTTGCATATATACTGTAAAAGTAATTCAATTAACGTTTAATAACATTAATAATGACAATAAAAACGCTAATAACGATAATCTTTATATAAAGATGAAAAATCGGAGAAAATAAAGACTTTCACAAAAAAATTAATACTTTATATAAAGAATATATTGCAGTTTTTTTTTGCAAAATTAATACAGAGATAAATGAACGATAAACGTCTATTTGTAAAAGAGCAAAGATACACTAATTGTGATCGATCGTGCGAAGGTATCTTGCCATTGGGTAATTAGTCTTATTTTTCTTAAGCTCGTCTCGATGGTATAATTATCTCATCCTCACAATCGCCATCAATTTCTCGCCAATTTTTGTAGTCTTTCATAGTGAGTGACAGAAATCCTGTGGACGGATTTCTACGCGCTCGTCCATGCTCACGAGCGCGTCTCTCAAAAATGAAAGTGTCCGCCGTGTGAACGCGTGACCGACGTAAACACCAGCGCGAATTGGGTCGACTACCTATCCTCCCCACCTGTCTTTGCATTTCCAGAACGGGCCATCAGAATTGAAAAACCTGTACCAACGGTTAAATTAAAGGAAAGTGGGCTTCGAGATTCTTCTTTTTTTTTTCTCGAAGTATTACCCTTAGGCGGTACCTGTCGCGATCTTCTGCGGCAATGATATCGGGTATTTTAGGTGTCCCTTGTTTCTTTCTCCCTCTTTCTCTTTTTCTTTCTTTTACAAGAATTATTCCGAAACCATTTGACTATTTATGCATCCTTAGATATCCGAAATAGTCTAACTATGCGTATTATCTTTCATCTATAAATTTCTCAGTCCTCATTTGGAATTGATAAATTTTTCCTCACTAAAGATACCGATACTTCTTAAACTGTAAACGTTTGAATACGAGGAATTTAATTATTATAACATACTTAATTATTATAATACACTCGGAAATGCAATTATTATAAAATAAAAAAATTCTTTTTCAAATTAAATTATTAAGCAAAATATGCGAATTGGAACAAAATCTTAACTTACGAATTAATATCACGAAAATATCACTTAAATATCAGAAAATTTGCGACTGATGACTTCTCGACATCCTTGCTAGGAAAAGATCGGTTCTCTATGTAAGTCAAAGAATTCGCAAGATGACTCGCTAATAATAAATCATAGGATATCTTACATAAAGTCGTGATTACTGGAATAATTGAATATACTTGATGGATATTTGATTCGATATGAAGTAATATTTTAAATAAAAGCTGTTGGATAGAATAACTAGATATTCAGTGATAATTCAGATATATTGAGATGCTCAAATATCTTTGGATCTAAACATTTGAGTACTTAAATAACTTTTTATTAGAAAGAACTCAATCAGTATCCAAGTATTTATTGGAAAATCTATCGCGGCATGAAATGTCGAAATGAAAAAACTGCGAGCTCCTGCTACTTTTTATTTCGTTTGTGCCGGATATTGACGTAACGCATTTCAGTAGAAATTTTAGTAATTATGTGTTATTGTATACTGATCAAACATCATAGATTTACCTTTTCTCAGATTAACATAACAATAATAATTGTTTTCGATTATCTACATATTAATAATAACCTTGGCTTACTTTCAATTCAATCCGACTTTACATGATCACTTTATATACCTATATATTATCTTATTCTATGTTGACATTGGCTTGTGAAATTACATGCTGATTAACACATTTTATCTCTATCGTCTTTATGTTGTCAGTACGAACTATAGCTATGTTTCCGCTTGTCTACGAGAGAAATCAGATAAACATTATCTGTATATCGTTGCTCTAATTAAATACTTTGTATGTATCTTTAAATAACAAAAATAAATATTACAAATTTTAGTTTCACTTTTTAAGTAAGATATGATTTTATTGATGAAAATAAAAACGTCATTTTTTAAAAGAACATTATTATTATCATTATATTATTAGAAGAATAAAACTGCTTTGCATGAATGTTCAAGATAAAATATTTCCGAATCTTTTCACATAAGGTATTGTAATAAAGCAATATATGAAGGAACTTCGAACTAACGAAAGAAATAAAATTAAAAAGATGAGAATAGGACATTCCAGAATATATAGAATATCTCTGACATTAACTTGGTTACTCGACGTTGCATCGGTGATTATTGAATTTCGCGACATTCGACGCAGATCGTATATAGATCATATAGTCCCAGTGTGCGACTCCTATTTACACAACTTTCCATTCCGCGTGGAATGAAAAGTGACAAGAATGTCCACTTATAGTAATTGCCATTGGAAAATAGCAGTGATTTACCGGCTCGTTTGTAATCATTTACGTTAACTTAACGCACTAACGTGCTACTGTCTCGACGGCTTTAAGATCGTCGTATCCAATATGCTTTCTGTACTCTTTCGGATAAAAATAAATTACTATGTGACATTATCAGTAAAATCTCTTTCACGAAATGCAGAAAGTTTTGCAATTTTCTACAATGTAACCTGATACCGCAAATGTAAGGGACTTGGAATAGTGTAAGTAACTTGAACAGCACATACTTTTGTTAAATTTAATCGTGATATCTATCCATAAGTCTCTAAAAAAAGTTTCTAAAGAAAGTTTAAATTAAAAATTTTTTTAGTAACTCATAGATATCACAATTAAATTTAACAAAAGTACATGTTGTTCTAAGTCACCTACATTTACAGTATTAGCTTCACGATGTAACTTTATTTGTAAATAAAAACATCGCTTGTTTTTTAATAATTCTAATATATTGTATATGTTCCTCTTAATTATCCCAATGTTAAAATATTCAAAGAAAAAGCTATTTGAAATATTATACATCGTTTATACATAAGTATATGTTAAGAAAAATAAATTTATTTCAATAACTTGTTTTAGAAGAATATTATAATACAGATATAAGCATAAAAAAATGTGAATTTAATAAAATCTTTTGATTTATAATGAATTTGATTAAACGCACTGATGTATATTATAACCATTAATTAAACTGATTGTAAGTATATAATGCAATTTTGAATTATAAGATACATATTTTGTCTAACAGCACAATAAAATGTATTAAATATTTCACGATTTAACCGGTTTCTATGTTTATAATAAACGCATATCTCTACATCAATTTGTGTATGATAGCTGTAATCAGTGCATTAATGTGGCCATTCGCTATTAATCAAAGATCTTAGATTATAATTTATGATACGCATCCTAAAAAAGCACTACAATTCCAAGATGTTGTTGATGTTAAAGAGATAACCGCGTCGCGCGACACGGTGTCATTAACCGCAAATCTAGAAATGATTTGTGATAATCGCGAACGATATTACCGATAATGCCGTCACTTTCCGTCCGAAAAATATATCTCACATATATCACAGACGCACTGACACATGATTAAGATGCGAAGAATGAAAGCACGAGTCAATGAGCGGCGATAAACACTGACCAGAATTAATCGCATTTTTTCGACCAGGGTGGCCCACCGTGAAAAGGATGGCAACGACCACCGTCTTTTTTTATGGTTCGTCACTCTTCTGATGGATTCATCATGACATACGTGGCTTTTATAGCGAATCTTCTGCCTAGATATTCTAGACATACAGATTTTGAGGAGGGGTACAAAGAGAGCTACGGTGCTATATGGGGGTCCCAACTCTGCATGTACATCTTCAGTTGAGAGGGGATTCATGTTTCATAGCGAATGCGGGGCGACAAAGCAGTAGAACGAAACGTAATGCAATTCAATGAATTTTAACAAGAGGTACCCTTTTTTGCGAATTTTTGGGGAATATAAAAATCTATTTACTTCTTTTATATACAATCAATTAAAAATTATGTGCTCAACATAAAATATGTACATGTTAGAAACTTTTTTCAAAGAATTTCTTTGTAAAAAAACTTATATAAAAACTTTATACAAGTTCTAACACGTGTATTTATGTTGATCATATAATTTTTAATTGATGTATATAAAAGAAGTAAAGAGATTTTTATATTCCAAAAAAAGCCACAAAAAGGGTATCTTTTTTTAAAATTCATTGAATCTTATTAAAAATCTCGGAAACGCTTCTTTGGAAGATTTATTAGTAAGGCTGATTAATCCAACGAAATCTCCCTTCTATAATTATTGGTTAAATTTGTCTGAACAAGTATAATGAGAGCGAACATCACTGGCGGACATAAGTGCTCATATATAACCGGTCAGTGTCCGATGACATGCAACGTATAACCGGTAATGACTTTCTCGTTAATTATTATCGGGGTCTTTTAAGCGATCGCAACCGCGAGGGAGAATGGACTTTCTCGTTACATTGTTTGTCTCGAAGAAAGCAATATTACTTCTACGCGTGTTAAAACAATTTTCTCAAGAAACTTTTTATCTTCAATTTCTTGGAATAATAAATAAATACCTATTATCCCATGAAGTGTAATCATAACTTCGAGAACAGTCTACAACTTGTTGAGCAACGTAATCAACGATACTTGCTTCAATCATGTGCGAATAGAATTAACGCCAACGTCTCACAGTGCAAATCATATATAAAAAAACGACCATCTCCATTCTGACCATCTCCGTTCCCAGATCTCGTGATGAGGAGGAGACGGAGAAATGCCTTTCTCATCTGATATCGGCGCGGCGCGTCTCACGACGCAGCAACACGGAAAAGCGCGGTTTCGTAATTCACGTGAGAACAATTTCGCCTGTGCCAGGTTCGCGCTCACGTTCGCGTTTACCACCTGCGGAGTCTCACTCTGACTTTCTTCCTCAGGGTTACTGTCGCTCCTGCGAAAAGCATGCAACATGACTGCCTTTCACTGACGGCATGTTTCTCCAGAGCAGGAGATGCGCCAGTTGCGTCGACGATCAGGAAGCAAAACCGCGATTATCCGGTATACGTGTTCTGTAATCGACGATATGATATTGTATGAACGATTGTGTAAACAGATAATAATTGCACATGAAAAAACAAATCAAAAGGAAATTCTTCTAATTGTGAGAAAGTCAATTAATAGTCAAATAAATTAAATTAAATTAGAAAACTGTCAAACTGATAGAAATATTCATTTCTTCTTACACACACAATTGTCTTGTGAGGCTAATTTTAATTTGGAACATCCGCACGCAAGGAGTATCTTCGATTTTTTTATTTTTTTTTTTTTCGTCATGCAGGAGAGACGCGATGAAGCGAGAAACTGTGAGAGTCATTACCCGGGCCGCACGACGGGATTACTTTGACTTTCTTCCGATACGATGTCAGTAGCAGCTGTCTTTTCGATTTTTTTTGTCTTCAAGAAGATAAATTCGGTTACTTTCACTGTGTCTCGAGAATACGCGGCAGACTGTACGATTGGGACGAGTTTCAAGTGTGTTGTCCAATTTGTTTAAAGCCCATTAAAATACATAGAGCCGATGATAAGCGAACATAAATATTGAACGGTAATTCTTCGTCAAATACGACAGCATGAATTCCCGATACATCAATTCTCTCCGAAACTCCAAGGAATTGAAGAAAAAGAAAAAATGCGCCAGCTATACAAAAAGCTTTTGATTTAATTGGCATTTATTAAATAACAAATTTTCGATTTGTCATTTAGCATTTTTCTTTCTCTTTCCGTACATTTTTGCGGTATATTATTGCAAGGAAAATTTACAAAGCCGGCATCACGGTACGTCCGCTTTCTTTCCGCATTTATACACAGTAGTAATCATTGCAAGCCATTTGCACGATAGTGAGGATAATTTAAGGTTGCATTCATTACGGATGAAGTAGCAGCCGACTTATATTAATTGAGATTTACTTTGAGACCATCTTCGCGAAGTGATTTTCGCCGACAAAGAGGTCGACGTTCCTTGAGATCACGTCAAAGATTTCACCTCTTCGCTACTCGCAAAGTTTCCGCTCATTCTGTATGTATATAAAAACATATAAAATATTATTACGCGGGCATTGACACATCGTCATCGAGTATAATTTATTAGTACTAGACTCAAGATATAATTTATCAATACTAAAATCCACGCGTCCTTTCTTACGTGGCAACGAAGAAAAGTCCATGTCGTATTCTGTATTATAATAAAAATAAAAAAAAAATATTCTGCCACCAGGAAGTACAGCTTAGGTACTTTGCCTCATTCAAAATCCATTAACAGTTTTCCTGCGGGCGATTCTGCTGGCACGTTGCACAACTCGATCGTCCGCATCGCATTACGTACGAACGTTTCGCGTTATTCGTGCAGATATTATATACATATACAACAGTTGTATTGGATTGTCGATTACACACAAACTTGGGCTAGATCAAGACTTTCAGGCTTTCCTGACCAGCGGCCGATTGTTGCAATTCTTCAGGGTACATAGATAATCGTGAAGTGACTTCATAATTGCGCTCGTGTATCACATCTCTCTGATGTCAACGAGTCGCAATCGCATTATGTCAAAAGGAAAGTTACATAGGTTGTAACGAAAGGGCGATATTATCGCCATCCAACCGTAGCCCAATGAGGTCGCATTAACGGTTATCTTACATTAAGATTTTCCAGGCGATAAAACATAGAGATATAATCGCGTTAATTGCGACCATTTCTCTGATCATAATGATGGAGGAAGAAGAGTTCTCCTCTTCCGGCGATTCGCGACGTCGTGCATTTCGCATACTCACTCATGCATGCGACATGGCTAATATTTAGCCTCATCTAGGAAGTCTATAATATAGGAAGATATATTGTGTGTGTGTATATATATATATATATATAT